TAATTTATATATTGGGATAGAAATTTCCTTATCAAACTTTGACTGAACTTATATAAAGCAAACTATATTTATGTATTCAAGATTTGTTTTGTGAAATGTTAATAAAGGATATGTTATTTGTTGTTTCTCAACAGATTTCTTACATGTAAAAGCAATGATGTAATCAGTTGATCTTGTGCCAGACAAACCAGTGATTGATATTTTGAGCATGTAAAGTACCCAGACACACAAAAATTGAAGTGACCATCCTATGCATTTTGTCACCTCATTCCCCGCCGTGATATTAGTGGAATATTGCTAAACGTGACATAAAACCATACTGACTCACGTGTCACCTCATTCAGCGGGGGGGCGGTGGGGTAGCCTAATGGTTAAAGCGTTGGCTCGTCACGCCGAAGACCCGGGTTTCGAATCCCCACATGGGCACAATGTGTAAAGCCCATTTCTGGTGTTCCCCGCTGTGATGTTGCTGGAATATTGCTAAAAGCGGCGTAAAACCAAACTCAGTCAGTCAGTCAGTCATTCAGCAAGCATAGGTCACTGGGGACCTGTTCTAACCTGTAAGGGATGGTGGGGTAGCCTAGTGGTTAAAGTGTTCGCTCGTCATTCCAAAGACTCCAATTTCTGGTGTCCCCCGCCATCATATTGCTGGAATATTGCTCAAAGTGGCGTAAGACCAAACTCACTCACTCTAACCTGTAAAAGGTGCAGAACCCTGTTCCACAAAGCAATCGTAGCGCTATGGCTGTCGTAAGTCTATGTTACAGTATAGGAGTTACGATCACCTTTCCGCTACGATCACTTTGTGAACGAGGCCCTGTAACTTAAGATATTCTCTTTGTTTGATACCATCTTCAAACATATTCAAGCTAATATGATGGCAATCTAAGGATGATAATCAAATATGAATGTGATATTATAGGCAATAATCTTTGTGGCTGGAATACAAACATGTGAGATGTAAGAAAACTTGGACAACCATGGAAAAATACTGTTATAAACGGAGACCTGAGAATAGCCACGGTTTTGATTTCATCAAATTTCATGGCCCTGTTTATCACCTGAAACATGACTCTGTATGTAGCACGAGGCTGATGAAGTACCTGGTGAGGAATTAAATATTGTATTGCTCTGGATTGAGTTTTGATCTATTTCCACAACCAAACTGACACGCTGTATAACTGACTGACTGAGTTTGGTTTGATGCCGCTTTTAGCAATATTCCAGCAACATCACGAACCCGGGTCTTTGGCGTGACGAGCCAACGCTTTAACCTCTAGACTACCCCACCGCCCCGACACGCTGTATGAAAGGAAGGAGTCAAATAAAAGATATTTGAAATCAGAATATTTTCAATAAAACACATTCACACTTTTTGGAAAAAAATAGTGAAACCTACATGTGAAATGTTAACCTGTGTTGCTAGCAGTTTAATGTAGTTATTGAAGAAAGTTTATGAACATCGTGCAAAAATGACCAAAACACTCCCTCACTCACTCATTACCCGCCCACTCAAAACTCACTCATTTTTATGAAACAGTTTTTGATACTCTGACATACCCACATTGATAGTGCAGTATAGGTGGTTGTTATTGGTGAAGATTCCACTATTATTAGGATTAGTTTGTTCCATTTAAGGGCCAATGCTCATGCTGTTAACCATTGGTTTGCCTGGCCCTGACTCGACTACCAACAAGCTGTAGAATTATTCTAAAACTACTCACTTTGGTAGAAAACAACATTCACTCTAAAATATATACCAAAAACAGTTTTCATATTGTGAGGTTTTATTAATAATAATCCTGTAAATCATAAAATTTTTGCATCACGATATTTTTGTGACTTGCCCAATTCTCAAAAATGAATTGTTGAGTTAATATGAATTGGTGAATAATAAAGCGATAATGAGACACGTTATTTTGCGTCATATTGCGTCATAACATATCGAGTTCAAGTCATTCGCAAATTTCACAAAATTATCACGCTTGCAAAAATTTCGTGATTTACATGTAAAATGTAAATTGGTGCATCCGGCAGCAGTGTACATGTCAGAACAGACTTGCAGTTTGAATTATCAGATAAATCCTGCCTGCATCTTGAAGTTCGGGCATCAGCCTGCTGATGTTTGACCTCTCCTCCCTGTCTATCCAGATTGTTAAATGTCAGGTTATGAAGAACTCATCCCAACTTGAGACAGTACACAGATTCTCCTCATCCTCTACAAACATTTGTGTCTCAGGTAATTGATCATGGCTTCCTGTCTCGCTCACTGAGACGAATGTTGTCAGGATTTATTCCAGAATGTGTCACTGTGGTAATCTTGTCCTGCCTGTTAATTAGATTAAATTCCTGCAAGTGTATTTATAGCAAGTGATAGAGCATCTTATGAGCCCTGCTTAGCTCTTCATATACCAAACAGTTGATACATGTGTTGAAGTCTGCTGGTGGGACTGCGTCTCTGTTATTGAAGTCTGGTGTCAGTCTTCATTTCAGAAGCCTACTTAAATCCTGACCTATCAAATTATTTACCGTAGTTGTTCCACAAGTCTGAAACTGATTCATACTTGCTTTCAATATGCCGGGCGGTGCAGTAGCTTAGTGGTTCACTTGTCACACAGAAGACCCGGGTTCGATTCCCCACATAGGTACAATGTGTGATGCCCATTTCATGTGTCCCCTGCCATGATATTGCTGGAATAATACCAAAAGCGGCGTAAAACTAAACTCACAAACTCACCATTTCAATATGCATTGATTATTGTTTTCCTCCCAGTTCCGTTAGTCGATATAGTTCATAGGGACCTTACCAGTATTTACTGTTGTCATTCCATAAATCTGAAACTGATTCATACTTGCTTTCACTATGTATTGAAAATTGTTTTTCTCCTAACTCCATTAATTGATATAGTTCATGGGGACCAGAAAAGAAATGCTGGGTCCCTTTCCACAAAGCAATAGTGCTAAGATGATCGTAACTCCCATACTTTAACATAGACTTACGACTGTCATAGTGCTAAGGTGATTGTAACTCCCATACTTTAACATAGACTTACGACTGTCATAGTGCTAAGATTAACAGCCTCTAAGCAGACAAGCTAGAGGCTAACTCTCATACTTTAACATAGACTTACGACTGTCGTAGTGCTAAGATGATCGTAACTCCCATACTTTAACATATACTTACGACTGTCGTAGTGCTACGATCACTTTGAGGAACGGGGCCCTTGTGGTCAGCTGCGACCTGTAGTTTGAAATTGTGGCCAGACTCAGGAATTTAGTTGACTTCATATCCTGATGGTGACGATTGTTGCTCACTGGTTTGCCCAGACAAAAATGGCTCCCAGCATCCTTTGCTGGTCATAAGCTGTGGCCAATAGACTTGGTGGGAACTTGGGTGAAGCGTGATGTCACGTCCTGATTGTCACAATCGTTGCTCAGTGGTTTCTCTGGTTCATACTTTTATTTACAAACTAACGTCATAGAGCTGAAGTATTGTTTGGAGGCATCGTTGAACAAGAAACAGTGTAAATAAGACTGGGTCCGCGAGAGTAATTTCAGTACGCTTAATTGTTAATTAGATTAGAAACCAGAATGCTTCAGAAACCAGTGTCTACATTCACATGCTGTAAATATCTGTTGGTCATACGCAAATGTCATACTGACTTATGTAACAGAGATGTCATACCTGACATATGTGAAACAATAAGAAAAACGACAAAGTGAAATGTCACGCGGGATGCATGATCTGCCAATAGGCAATGGCGGAATGTTGCGTGCTTACAAATTTGGGAGTGTAAATATCACCTACTGAGCTGGACAAGTTGAATAAACAGTTACAGGTTGAATACGTTTGTAAACACAATTGACAGTAAAGATTTTAGATAAACATTGCACCTGTATGTAGAGCCGCTCAGCTTTATCCTCCAGATGGTGAAGTTTAGCGCCTGGGTGAGACGAAATGTGCTCGGCATGTCAAACAAAGGCTTATGTTGGTTTGAGTTGCTAACATTTCAAACAAGGGTGTACAAATGACGTCAGAGTGCACTGGTATATTTTGTGTCAATTTGACTTAAACGAAATGTGATATTGTTGATGAGATATGTTGTATCATTAATTCGTCAAGAAGATACGAGGTGTAGCGTATTGTTTGTGATCATAAGCGGATTAAATTCAATTTATGTGAAGATGATCTGTACGACATGTTAATGTGTATATGCATGAAGCTAATCTGGAGGACAAAGTAGGAAGGATTTGTATTATAAAGGGATTGAGACGTTGTGATACATTTGAGTCAAGAATGATAACAGCTTGTCTGCTTGGAGGCTGTTAATCCAAAGAATTAACCATTATTCTCAGGGCTTGTGTGAGTTTGTATGTGTGCGTGTGTGCGTATTCGTGTGTTTGGGGGACACGTGTGTGTTCGTGTGTGTACTTGCTTGTCTGCATGCAGAGACGATTGAACAAATGTACTTGCCTAAGGTTTTGCAAAAGCCATAATTATTTGCTAACATGCTAGATGTCCTGAAGAAATGTTTTGCGAAAACAAATACAAAATATATGTTATCTCCTCTCATAAAGATATATTGTATGTTTGAAACGTATTGAAACAATATGCCTGAGATCTTGTATGGAGACTAGATGTCTTTTTCCAGCTACACAAAACCCATTAAGCTGTGAACCCAAATGAATTTTTTATAATCATCTTGCAACAAAGTAGTTTTCAGACAATTTCTTTGTTTTGTCGTCAGTTTAAAGCATAAATAGTTTCAAATAGTTTCTGGGAAATATAGGATTTTTTAATACAATCAAGCACAACCTACCTCCAGATTATTAAGTGTTTGGACCATCAAATTACTTTTTCATCTCGACAGTTTAAGTTTTGTTTCTATTTTGTGAATTCTTTTACTTGTTGCATGGTTGGTGATAAATAATTTTCTTTCGTAGAATTCAATAATGTTGATAAATATGGAATAATAATAATTATTTTTCTCTCTTTACAGAGACTTTGGCAACAATGACCCAATCTCCCACAGTCCGCTGGAGAAGAGGTTAGAGCAGACTATGGAGGAAGAATTGGAGGAGTATGATTTTGACGATGTAGACGTGCAGGAGTACAACATCATCACAACCTACCCTGACCCCAAGAAACCCAACATCCTACAGCTGTTTGACAGCCAGGGAAAAATAAAGGATACTGTTTCCTTGAAGAACTCTCCTGTTGTTGAAGATAGGAACACGGAAAATTCAAGAGGGAGTGCACCTTACACTAAGTTCCCGTTTGTGGCAAACACGTTGGGAGGAAGTGTGAAGGTAAATTGTTTTTGTAGTTTGTTCAACGCTGTGATGTTGTGCGAGTACTTATATACATATATGGCAGGCATTGTTTAGATGGAATGTGTGAAGGAGGGATGCTTCCAGGGATGGGATTGTTTGTGCTTGCTGTAGTCTAACAATACCAAATAATCTGTGAAGATCTGGGTTAGTATTGGTTTTAGTCAATACAGGCTTGTGGTAAGAGGCGACTAACGGGATCAGGTGGTCAGGCTTGCTGACTTCATTTACACGTGTCATCATATTTTAATTGCATAGATTGATGCTTATGATGTCAATCACTGGATTGTCTGGTTCAGACTGCCGTCATATAGCTGGAAAATTGCTGAGTGCAGCATTAAACAACAAACAACCTATTCAGAATCTGAGTTATCCTCTGAACGTGTACAAGCTATTTTTGTAGGGGTGTAATGTTTGTTTTTTATAGTGAGTTTTGTTTTACGCTGCACTCAGCAATATTCCAGCTATGTTGCGGCGGTCTGTAAATACTCGAGTCTGGACCAGACAATCCTATGATCAACAGCATGAGCATTGATCTGCGCAATTGGGAACCGATGACATGTGTCAACCAAGTCAGCGAGCCTGACCACCCCGATCCCGTTAGTCACCTCTTATGACAAGCATGGGTTACTGAAGATCAATATTCAAACCCAGACCTTCACATGTTTTTTTTTGTTTTTTTAACTGATCGACATTTTGAACAAACGGTGATATGGTCAAGACGGCCATGACATGGATCATGGATCAGGTGGGTCACTCGATGACTGGGTTAATTTGGCTTTATCTTCCGTGATGGTGTATAGATTGCTCACATTATCAGTCACTGGTTTGTCCAGTTTGGATTATACACAGGCTGCCATGAAATTGTTGGAATAACTGCAAATTAACAAAACACGTTGATTGCAATAATCAGTTTGATTAATTAACATATATGCAGCTCATTCTGACTTCACTTTACATTAATGAGATTTTTGTTGGCATTTTTGGTTTTTTTTAATTAAATCAATTTGTCCATACAGGATTTCTGTCACCCATGGTTTCAAACTAAGCTTGTCACGTGTTTGTGTCAGGTTTTAGAATACTTTTTGTCAGTTTGTTAGTGGTACAGTGTTTGCTTCAGAATACCCATGTTCATGACTTGTACACTGAGAGAACTCGGTACTCACAGATAGGAAGACCTGAGTGTTTATCATTTGGAGACTTATTCATGTTACACTCTCCTCAGATAAATCTGTAATTACGCTTGTCATATTAGAATTTTCATTTGGTCTGACACTGATCTCCTCAAACAGAACAGTGTACTAACGGCCATGTTTAATATCTCTTTCAAAATAGAATAGAAAATATTGGTGTCTTCAAATCCATTCTCTACATGATCTAAACCCAGCATCAAATACTTATCTCTAGGAAATGTCTTTGAGCTCAGTTAAAAACAATTTATTTTTTTTCCTCAAATAACTATGAAAAAACAAAGTGCAGTCAGTATTGACTACGCACAAAATGGAGATTAAAGCCATGTGATAATCAGTGCAGTGCCATCAAGATTGCCCTTCATGATTAAATTCATGGTTCTCCTCAGAAAAGAGGCTTATTAGGCCAGTATAGCGTATTTTCTTGTTTTAGGGACAGTCTGGAGTGAAACATTTCCTTCTATCAGCTTTTTGTCAAAACCATGGTTTTAAAAAGTATTTTTGAAGGAAATACGTCTCAAATCAACCATATCAAACTAATATATTTGTTTGGTTTTCTTAGTATGGAACAGAGCATATCTGTAAGGTTGTCTGGTCCAGACTGGATTGTCTACAGACCACTGCCATATCGCTGGAATATTGCTGAGTGCTGAGTAAACAGCACACAACCAAACAACATTTGTGTAAAACTCAAAATATATCGGCCTAGCCTAAACAGATGTTTCTGAAATACAGATTCATGCAAGTCATTACATCATCTTCAGAACTCAATCCACTATCAAATCACAAGGGAATCTCTGAAGAAGTAATAAAAATATTTGCTGATTACAGTTTCATTAGGTGTGTTCTGTGTACATTTCAAATGCTATGGACAAATCACTGGCATTGTGTATTCATGATATTGAAAAATTTGATTCAATCAGTATCTTGAACAAGGTTTTCCACAGGTAGGAAGAGGTTTACTTGATGGAGACAAATTTAATTTAACAGTGTCTTGTTCAAGTGCTGTCAAGACATGAAAAGGTTTACATTATAATTGATCTGGACAAATTTAATTTAGCACTTTCCTGTACAAGGTTTTGTCTGGAGATGAAAAGGTTTGCATTAGAATTGATCAGGACAAATTTGAATTAATCAGTATCTTGAGCAAGGTTTTGTACTGATGTGAAAAGTCCTTGAAAGTTTAGTTTAAGGACTGACTGACTGACTGAGTTTAGTTTTACACCGCTTTTAGCAATATTCCAGCAATATCACGGCGGGGGACACCAGAAATGGGCTTCACACATTATGCCCATGTGGGGAATCGAACCCGGGTCTTCGGCGTGATGAGCCAACGCTTTAACCACTAGGCTACCCCACCGCCCTAGTTTTAAGGAGGTCTTGACAATGAATTTGCCTACAAATAGGCCTTGAATTTCAGTCTTTCCTTAAGGAGGCCTTGGTTTTGAATTTGGATTTGACAGTATGGCCTTAAGGTCATCTTCATTAAGATTCTGCTTTGAACAAAACCATAAATTTTGTACAAATGACAAAGGAAAATTAATGTAATAGCCATTGTTTTCTCTGCCATTAAGTAAATAATTGACGATAATTTGTCTCTTTGAAATACAGGTCCTTAGTCCACAAAGTGCTAAGACCAGTGTTGGGAATTGGTTAAAATCTCTCATTCGATCAATCATTGAAAATAATTGGTTAGCATCATTTATCAGATTTACCTGTTATGTTTGTTAATGCGCAAAAAGATGAGGAAAAAACATTTAGTTCTTTGGGATTTGTTTGCAAATTGCGCCAAATGCATTTGCAAATTGCACATCTTTAAAGAAGTCTTTAAGATAAATTCAATCCTGACTTTGAACGAGCTTATGAAATGTATATTTAATGACACAGACAAACCCAACCTTAGGAAAAATATTGTTAATGCAAACAAGTGTTCAAAATTGTTTGTGTTTGATTATGAGAAAACATGAACAATTGCTTGGTCATTTCGTCACTGATCAATCATCAATTATTTCAATTAATTGGACCACAACTAGCAAAGACTATCGTAAGCTGGTGTTAACTTGTGCAGGTTATCATCACTTGCAGTGGTGATCCATATCCTCAAGAACAGTTACACACTGGTGTATAGACATAGAATGTATTGGCCTACGCTTTGAGCTGTTTTCAAATGAAGTCACATTTCCCATTAATGCTGTTTGAAAGTATGCCTAAGTTTTTCTTTTAGCCCAAAGTGTGGTCTTTGCTTTTTAAAGCTAATTAACCTGTTAAGCTGATCTATCATGTTTTGTGAGAACTGATGATGATGGACAATGAGTGGTAGGGTTCAATATTATATTTTTCTGTTAGAAAAAGTTTTAGTCCCCTTGAAACCCAAATGAAACCAAAGGCAACACCACTCCGATCCTCACACTCATCCACACACAGGTACACAAAGACGGAAACACTCACTGTCTAATTATTAATAGCCAGTTCCTCAGGCAAGGCAATATTTTCTGATTTCTGAAAAGAAATCAATATTTTGTAAGTGAGAGCATTGCCTTTCCTTCACTGAGTAGGCTGTGCTTGTTTTATAGAGAGGACTTAAGTTCAGAATGGTTGGTGAAGTGATCGGACTGAAATAAAACCCCTTTATTAATGGTTAGAAGCAAATAATAACTCTCAGAGTATATTATGACGTTCAGAAATGTGGTACATAAGAATCATCTTAACAAAGTCAATGAAATCGTCTGCTGTTGAAAACGATGAAAAATTATTGTTTCCCAACTATGTTCAGAGGATGTTGAAATAGGTCTATTGGTTGCCTTGGTTACCATGTCTGTGGCACAAACTTCATGCTAAATGCCAGGATATGGATTGTGTAATGTACTAGTTACTCAAATGACGTTCAGTTTGCAAATTATAGCATAAGGGACCGTTCATAATTTTTGGCTAGGAGTGGTGATGATGATTTTTATGGAGAAGCATGTAAAATGTAAATGACACCCACTTCCCTTCCCATAATTTCTAAGCTTAATTTCAAACATATTTTTATGTACAAAATTGCTGACCCCCCTAGTACGTGTGTACAAAATTGTTACCCCCCCTAGCTCCCTAGAACAAAATGGGTGACCCTCCATTAAAATCATCATCACCCCCGCTTGCCATGAATTATGAAAGGTCCCTAAGATACTATATTTGTACACACATGTTATCCATAAAAAGGTCATGTATTCACATAGATCTGTTAAGGAGGCCGTGATAGTCCAGCGGATAAACTGTTCTGTAAGGTCTTGGTTTGATTCCCAGTTAACTTATATGATCAGATTAGAAAAACGAAAGTGTTCTTACTCTTAAATGCTTGGCCCTTGTCACTAAGAGTGCAGCAATTTGCTGTGCAGAGTTGTTTCCCTTTGTCAGGAGAGGATCCTATGACTATGAGTTCAAATCCTAGATACACTGAAATTCTTATTTTCCTTATCCTGACTCATGCTCTTTTTGTCTTCTTCTTCTTCTTGCTAACATAGTGGAACACTTGTATCTCCTTAATTGAAGCCCCTTCAATGTAAAATCACTAATTGGTACTCACCACGAGTTGCCTCCCTTGCCCTTTGGCGGAACAGGTGTCGCCACCCTCTGGCCTCATGCTTCACTCTCTCCTTCTTCGCCCAGTGAGCAGGATGTGAGAGCCTGTGTCTCCTTACACACTATATCCTTTGGTTTTTCTTAGTTTATTACCCCTTATAGGTTACTATAGAGGTATAGCTAGTATCCTTCATTAATTTGCATTGATATTTAATCGTATTTCTACCG